CGTAAGAGAACGTACTCGGTTACTAACGTAACCTGGGTTCTCTCTAGTAACCGAGTACGTTTCTTATTTTAATGCTTTTCTCGTGCTTGTATTTTGAATGAGGACAGTTCAAACACACTAATTAATCACAGTATTTCCATCTTTATCAGTCTGGGCTCACACTGACAGTGCTGAGTAAATATTTCCATACTCAAAATGTTTCTCTTTATTATTATGAAATGCTGTTCTAATTTCCTGGAGGGATGTTATACTATGAAGCACATTATTATGGTGAACAAGTTCAACCAATTAGGTGAGAATGACACACTAATTTATGAGTAGGTAATTAGTCTTAGTGTGTAGTGTGAGAGTAATCTCTGGAACAACAGGTCCTGGACAATTTCTTAGCATCTGTCATTGTTTACTTGAGATTACAAAAAAGTTATTGGTTACTTTATTGTCTTTGCAGAGATACTGTCAGCAGTTTCAGTTTCACAACAACATCAACTTAACTAAAAAGAGCACTGCATATTGTAAGTTTACTCAGAAACACATCAATGGACATTGGACAAACATTGCCACTTTGCTTGGCTGGTTTCCAGGGCGGTATGAGTACATCTGAGAGGCCGGCTAATCTTATCAAAACAATGTGACACTCCATATGTTACGCTAAGAGATTCACACAATATATTGGTTACCTAGTAGTCTTAATGACACATTGTCAAAAAAAGAGGATCAGCTTTTAAGAAAAACAATAAAAAAATATCATTTTTGAGTCCACAAAATAATTGTTATACTCCCGTCTGAATCAGCCAGTCTTCAAAGAAAGATGACGACATGCTGTCTGATCTTAAGGACTGAATCAGTTCCCAATCAGTTAACTTTTTTAATGCCTGAGGTCAGCCTCATGCAAGCAGAACTTTGTTTCTTTTTTCCAATGTGAAGATTTGGTGAAGCATGTCAGCATTTGTATTGTTTATGTACATCTGACTGTAGGATATGCAGCTGGATCTATTACCTACACCCAGATGAGTCTTATAGTTTCCACCTCACTCTGGAGAATGCACACCTCCGTTGCACCTTTGTGTGGCAAGTTGGAAAACACTTGCCACACCATTAAACCCTTTGACAACGCACACCTGCGCTGGGCATTATGACTCACATTCAGCCTGACAGAAGGACTGAGTCATTCCCTGATCATCTCATTTCTTGAATGCCAGTTGATGGGATATTGCGATTAGTTATTAATGGCAGTGAAGCATATTATAGCTACTCAACCCCCATGTTTTATAGCTCTGCATAATAAACAGAAAATATTTACAACCAGTTTTAAGAAGTTGCACAAGTCTTGTCAAATCATTTTTATATGCAAAATTAAACCACACAACAGAAACAGAATCAAAAGATGAATAACCCTTATTTATTTATTAACTTATTATGTATTATTTTCAACATCCATGAGTTCAAATATGCATTTCTTGCAAAGTTTTCCTTTATATGGATGTACTGATGTGTGATGTACTGATCCAGTATGTGTTTACAGCAGATGGTAGAAATACAACAAAGAAGGCTGATTTGAGAAGTCTGTGTTGGTTGTATTGATTGTATATTGATTATGTAAGTGATAATGTACAGCCAGCAGGTCTTTATCGTAAAATAAACATTGAATACTCACCCTGAATGGGTTTATTTTACGATAATGACCTCCTGACTGAACATTATCCTGCTTATTACATGCGGCTACATGAAATATTGAACTTCTTGCTATCACAATGTAAGTTGAAATTATAATTTTACCTTTACATTATCTACGAAAAATAGGCCATAACAATATATAAAACTGATGGCCTAGCAACAAGTCGAACACTGCCACAATATTACAGTAGCCTAAAATTGATAGGCCTAATTAACTGCTCTGATGTCAGTTTCTCGAAAATCGAGTTGTGTCTAGTTGTCTGCATGAAGCATCAAAGTATTTGTATTTGTGTTTTGTATTGCCAATTGACATAAATGAATATCCAGTTTGATGAACTACACGAGTCCTGCATAATGGTCAATCGCGGAAATTATTAAACAGTGACCAAAGGACTATTGATCTAACCTGTAATCTTTCAAAAAGCATTATCATATAATTAGCCAGTCATGATTTCATTCAAAAATGTTTAGCCTTTTCTCTTGTTAAGATGCACAGCGCGAAGGCTGTGAGATTGTTATCTGAATGTCAGAGCAACACACAGTTCACACACGGTCTGCAGTGCCAGATTATACCACCAGTGACAGTTACCACAGTGACGGCATAGACACACTTGCTGCCTCCAACTTTTAGTGGATAAGAGATAAAAACTTGTTAAAATGCCAGCGCTATTGTGACATTTCAGAAGCTTCGGGTGCTTCTAATACAATTCCCTATTTAGTGCAAAAATTACATCCCACGTGTCATGATTATCACCATGAAAAGATGACAGTAGACTACCATATGGGTTTTCCTTGAATATTTCAACCTGACCTTTTAATAATATTATATGGTATAGGGTGTATTTTGCGAATGATCTTTTAAAAGCACAATGTTTAAACATTCAAACAGAACAGGAATCCTTTCCTCTCATCCTTCTCACTCTGCATTTGTTTTTAATTAACGAGTTTGCCTGTTCATACTCAGTCTGGATTCCAGTCTAACCCTCCACTTTGTAGCTTATTACTTCATCATGACGTGAGCAGACAATTACGCATAAGTACATGCTAGGGACTATAATTAGGCTCCCTCATGGGAAGCATTTGCAAAACCTCAGGCTAGAATATATATTCATTCATTCGACTAATTTATCACAATCAAAGTATATGGCAATGCCTTATCACCAATCCTCTGCTGGATATGAGAGACTATGTTAATGCATTCATTACTCTGCACATTCTTCTCAGATCCTGTCTAGGGTTTGGAATGTTTCATTTTGTATTCATAACGTTTTCTCCATACGTGTCAGTGTTAGCCGTTTACTGTAGTTTGACCAATAGAAACTTAGAATTAGGTTGGTTTGGTTAAATTTCCTTCAATTTGGATATCCACAATATATATATATATATATATGTATTTATGCCACTCACTTTGTTCCATTTTGTTATTTTTTTTATAAAAACATTTTAACTAAATAATAATTGCTTGTCAGATGAATGTTGTCCAGGTTGTCCTGGATATATGAAACCAGTTTGTTGACTGGATTTTTTTTTTTTTAAAGTCTAAATGTTATCACAGTTGTTTACACAATCCTTTATTATAGTCAACATTATAATCAGTTAATCTAACTTCATGATTACCTGCATTAATACCTCTTACTCATAGACTCTTATGTTAACCGACCCAATATTACCAAAACAAAGGCAAAACATGACAATTATCCATCAAAGTCATTCAAATCAGGTTCTGGGGCCAGATGCAAAAGGCAGTAATGAGCTATAGTAAAGTTATTGTTAAAATGCATACAGAATGCATACATATGAAACAGAGTCCATGCAAGCTTGTCTCATAAACAAGGTGAAATGTGATTAGTCTATTCCATTCTGAGACAAAAGTCAAAATCCACAAATGTTCGTACATATGAGATGTAACATACTTGTACTCTTTGGAATGATTCCTTTCCCTTTCACTTATGCAAATTTACAGATTGATCACCTGCAACTTCTACACAGTAAAATCTAATAAGTTAGACTTCCTTAAAAAAAAGCATGCAAACGAAGCAAAGTGAAATAGGAATAGTAATTTGTACTGACAAATGCTTAGTTCACAAGAGTTCTAGTAATTGAAAAATAACTGTAGAGTGTTTGCAGAACTGTGTTTTGCATGCTGAATGTTGAAGTGTGTGACTCAAGCATGGTCAATTGTAAGATATTGTCACAAACATTGAGGGATTACATCAACCCAATTAAAAGTTTCACAAGGTATTTATGACAGAAGTGGCAGCAATAAAATTGTAAAAGATCATTATTCAACATGAACAATAGACTATTATTTAGTTAGAAGTTAGGTCACCTTTTAAAAGTAACCATTTTATTCCTTCCCTTCCTTTGAAACCAAATAACTGCGATTTCTTGTTGCATCAAGTTCCAAAGTGCCAAAACCAAAGCGAACATTAATCCCTATAATGGTGAGTTCAAACAAAAACATTTTAGGGAAATCAACATCAATTTATGAAGTCAGTATGTGATGCTCTCTCAAATTTTTCAGTTGTATTGACAATTCAACGTTCAAGATGACTTTGGTAAATTAGTGAATGCAGTGAAACTGGAGAAAGATAACTGCAGAAGTTTAGGAAATTAGTGAAAAGACTATTAAGAAAAGCCCCACCTCAAAACTTATTTTTTGCTTGAAAAAATGGCACTCAATGTCATTAATAAATAAATAATGTTAGCATCAGTTTCTGTTTTCTATTATATGCCTCTCACATCAAGCTCAATTCAGCCATAGTCTTATAAATGCTGCTCCCCTTCTTGTTGTGCAAAAAGTTAATTTCTTATGTGGGAGCACAAAAGATTTGAGAGTTTGTATTATAAAGTGCAGTAGCATTTTAATGGACAACATTCAATAGCTTTCTAAAAGTTAAAGATTATAATTTGAAAAATATTTATCATTTTCAGGTTACGCATCACATTAATCCACAACCAAATGGAAATAATATGCTCTCTCATCTCATAAAATAAAAGGTCATTTATTACTAAATTATTATATTTTTGAATTATTATTTACAAACATCTAGTGAGCCAGCAGCACTGTACTTCCTTTAGAAATAAACAAAGCGGTAATAAAATGTTGTAGTGCCACAGCTCCTCTTGACATTTTCACACACATATACAATGCCCTTTCAAAAAACCTCTGAGGATTATACAACTGATTCTGAAAGGACCACTGCAACAGAAGATTAGGGTGTGTTTCTGGATTTACATATTTCATTTAAAATGTTGCATTTATCACAAGAATGTTTTTCACTTCATGTTTTTCATTCTGGTTGTAAGTGCAGCTGCATCATATCTGCAGATCAGTAGGTGACCTTTCCTATCAATAACAGACATACTTCTCCTTTTTTCCCTTTCATTTTACCTTTGGCCTATTTTAAACACCTTTATTAGGCTGAGGTCTGAGGGTTCAGCTTGTGGGATACTTTGGGGCTCTTTGTGGCCTTGCGTGAGGTTTGGGGACTGGAGGAGCTGGGAGCTGTTCTTCGTTGTAGTAGTGGGCTGCTTTTGCCTTTGGATCTGGATGGAGCCTGGAGTGTTTCTGGGGCTTTGAGAGGTTTGAGGTTTAAGAGACCACAGAAGTAATTACACTGATGCTGAATGTGAAACAGCTCAAAAACCTTCGGATTAGCTTCACAGGGAAACCCCTGATACCTGCATCAGATAAAAAACAAGAATGCATCAAGAAATTACAGAATATTATAACACTGTAAATTAATCTATAATGTTTAAACCAATTAAATCACATTCAAAAGTTTGAGGTCGGTAGGATTTTTTTTATGTTTTTGAAAGAAGTCTCTTAGTCCAAGGCTGCATTTATTTGATCAAAATACAGTAAAAACTATAATATTGGTAAAAATTACAATTTAAAATAAAATAAAATATTTTAAAGTGTAATTTATTCCTGTGATGTGAAAGTTGAATTTTCAGCATCATTACTCAGTCTTCAGTGTCACGTGATCCTTCAGAAATCATTATAACATGCTGATTTGGTGCTCAAGAAACATGTCTTGTTACTATCACAGTTTTGCTTAATGTGCTGCTTAATATTTAAGTTGAAACCACTATATTTTTCATGATTCTTTGACGAATAAAACTTTCAAAAGAACAGCATTCATGTGAAATATAGTTTTTTATGACAATGTAAAAGTCTTTGCTCTTACTTTTGATCAGCTTAATGCATCCTTGCTGAATAGAATATTAACTTCTTTCAAAAAAATGTTATCATCAGAAAACCTGAATGAACTTTTCTTTCAAGTACCCACCCCTTTGACCTGATTGCTATTCCGATATTTGTCAGTATTGTATCAACTCCTGCAAAAAACAATAGTATCAAAGTCAGCATTTGAACTAAAACTAGGGCGAAGACATGCAGAATCATTTGTTTTGGATATATTTTCTCTAACTTACCCTCAAGTCTTGAGAACAGCACATTTCCATTGGTCCACTGGTGGATCCAGTGCTGGAGAGAAGAACATTTTTGCCCCACCTCTAACTTCTCATTTAATACCAGTGACCCGGTACGATCCAATCCACAATACCGCTTATAGACACCCTTAAGCTCTGCCTCCACTGTTGCATAAGGAACACTGATTACCCTGAAAAATATACATAGTCACAGTGACAACACATGTAGATCAGCTAGGATCCTCATATGCTCTTTGACTTTGATATACTATAATAAATCTACGGAATGAAATCAGATGATTTGAGCAGATCTTGGTAGAGAAAAAAACCTCACTTACTCCAGCGCTGCACCAAAGCTCTCTATCACTCTCGTCTCTGCAGCAAAGATCTTAAAGTACTCTCTGGCCATGTTCTGAATTCTACATTCCTATAAATTAGAAATGTATAGTCCTATAAATTAGGAACTTATGGGAATAAATTCTAAATATTATAGGGGATAAAAGTGTTACAACTTATCGTTGAGAAATGTTACAATTTTACCTGAATTTGTCAAAAACTTTAAAGATCTGTCACCTGTTTTGTGATTTGGAGATTCCTTTCAGCCAAAACAGTCTCCTCTCTGCTCTCATATGCAATAGGGCTCCGCACTTTTATAAAACATGAGCTGCCCGACTCAAACACAGGATCTAACCCATAGATCACTTTCAGCCGTCTGGTTTTGTGCTCACATCCCATTCCGACCTGAACTTCTTCTGTTGTGACACGGCCGTAGAACTTTGAGCCCCAGCAGCCTGCATCAGCAAGACCTTTACTAAAGATCAGAGGAGTCATCTCAATCTCCTCCCCAACTATGAAAGAGAGAGAGAGAGAGATGGTAAAAGGGACAGAGAGATTTATATGTATACTGAGGGGTCAACAAAAGACTGAAAGACTATAAAGCTGCTATTTTTCTACCTTCCTTGAGCTCCTCACGCAGAAACATATTGGAAAGAACTGTCAACAGATGTAACAGACAACAGGAAACATTCACAATTAGAATAAATTCTCTAGAAAAAAAATGTGTGAGAATTTGAACATGGACAATTTACACAAAAGAACACATTAGAAAGTTAAGAACATAGATACGACTTACACTCTGCACTGAGAAGATACTCTGTGGAATCTTTGCCATAGTCATTGGTAATTGTGCATCTGTAAACACCACAGTCTCTTTTGGACATCCGTATAATAGCCAAGCACACCTGAGTCTCATCTCCTGCACTAAAACAGAAAACAAAACTATATACCAGCTGGCAGCAGAGTACGTTGGTACACTCAGCTAAGCATATAATAATACTGATATACATCATGTTGTATTTTGCAGGTTGTCATATGACAGCATTGATGAATTCATTAGGGTTTGAAGCACTGGATAACACTAGGGGTCAGTAAAACTCTAGGAGTGCTTACCTTCTCTTTATCTCTGCAATCTCCACCTCATCCTTGTACCACCTTATTGTCGAGTCACTTACTATATTGAAAAACTGACACCAGAGTTTCAGATGTCCAGAGGCATCAAACACCTCTGGTCGGATTTTACGGATAATCTGTGGAACTGCAAGGAAGGAGAGGGAGGACAGGAAATATAGGGGATAAATGGTGAGATAAACAGCATCCAAAGGCAAAGTGAGCAACGGCCATTAGCAATACAAAGGCCATGAGTTTGATTCCCAGGGAATGCATAAAATGCAATAGCTTTGCATTAACGTTTGCCCAAATGTCTGAATATAAATGTAGCAAAAGCTACAGTACTTGATGACACATGTCATTGTTTTATGGTCAAACACACCATTACATTACAAGCATTATAAATAGTTGCTAGAATTCAGGTTTTCCGTCCGCTGTGAACCACTTGTCTACACTATTAATTGAAAATAACTGCGGTAATTGTGTGTTCAGTGTCCATTCATTGATATCTTTACCTTTGAACTGGTTTTCTTTGACTTTCTCTGTTGATTTGGGCTTAATGTTCTCATTTTCTGCAGGCTTGGGGAGGTCAGCCGGGACACTCTTCCGGGTGAGACGAGGGGAGTGCGTTTCTAATGATGTCTTCAACTGTGAGTTACTGACTGATTGTAACGGAGATTCAGGTTGTGTTTTCAAAGATAAACTGTCCATCTGATATGCATCTCTATTTGCTTCTTCAAGACATATGGCCATTCCTATTTCACTCTTCTCTGTTGTAGTGCTAGGTAATGTAGTCTTTTGATTCGTCCTGGTGGCAAGTTCACTGTGGGCAGCAGTAGAGTTGTCCTGATGGTCTGTATTCTTCAGTGGGATTGTTACCTTACAGACACCATGCTGTATCACTGCAGAATTTACTTCCTCCTCAAATTTATCATTGTCTCTAGAGTTTATATGTGTTGCAGCATTGTTCATGGTGCTGGTGGAACTTTGATCTGACATCTCAAGGTCCAATGCAGCTGATTTCAGGTGTTTTATGAAGGAGTCAGAATCAGTTTTCAGATTAAGATCTGTTTTTGGATGACGATTGGTTTCAGTTAATTCAGACACATTTGTCTTTATGCTGTTGTCAGCATTGGGGTGTTGCTTAGGAACCTCTGATAGTCTAATAAAATCTGTTGAAACCTTCTCAGTGGAACAATGACTTGATGATTCAGGTCCTTGATTCAGGCTTTCTTGACTTAGTGGCTGTTGATCAGGCTTGTTGACTTCAGAAGTTTGTGAACGTAGGGAAAGATCAAACTTCTCGTCACGCAGACCTTTAAATTCCAAAATGGCTGTGGTTTTGTTTGTGGTGTCTGTGCAATCAGAATGAATAAGTATACTTGTTTGACTGTCAGTGTTGCTATTTGTCACAGTAGAGGTTACTGCATTTGCTTCAGTTGTGATTTTAACAGTGTCTGATTTACTAATGTCACTCTTGCATACAGTGTGTTCTGTTTTGTCTGTGCTATTTTGAGATGTGCCGTCCACATCTGTAATATATATTGCAGGAATGGTCAATTCGGTGGGTAACTCTTTTGAATGTTGGGAGAGGAATGTAGAGGGGCCAGAACTATCAATGCCTTTTTTTTCAGAGTAACTTTGCATCTTGTGATGAGTTGATACTGGTACTTCAAATGTGGTAACTTTAGATTGTTCCTGTGTGTCCATTTTAGAAACATTGTTTGTAGCTACAAGAGAAGAGCTCTGACACTCTCTGGCTTTAGTATCTTTCATTTCAACTTTAGTAATAGAGGAGCTATTCATGGTGTGTGGTTGCACCATATTCGAGTTTAACTTGCAAATTTGAACAAACTCTGTGACAATGACTTGATTTGTGGAATGGTTTGAGTTTGCCGTTGATTTTTCTTTTGAAATGCTGTTCTGTTTTTGCACATTTGTACTTGTATTTATGTTTTTCATCTCATTTTTTTCCATACTATCGAAAGACATGGATGCAGGTTTTGTTTCACCCTTAGGTTTGTCAGACTCTTTGATGAGTTGGTTTTCAGCTTTGCTATCCTTCTCACACACGCTGGTTAATGTGTCATCTCCTAATGAGGAACTCATAGCTGTTGTAACTTGGCCATCATGAAGCATGTGTGAAACATGACCTGCGGAGCTTTTCTCACTTGGCTGAGTGTTTTGAGGCCCAGTGACAAGTGGACTGCACTTTGTTGATGCCACAGACTGGTCACCTGCTCTCAACTTCTGTCCCTGTGATGCAAGGTGGCAGGAACTGAGTGTGTCCGTAACACTCGCAGTGACCTCACGCATCAATGGGGGTTGCTCCTTTAACTTCTTGGCTACTTCCTTATGAAAAGGAGGAATATCTTCAAGAATCGGTGACTCTGTGGGCTCAGTGTGAGTATCGCCTGCAGCCTGAAATCATAGAATTATATTTATTTATTTTCAGAAGCCTTAGAGGGATAGTTCGACCAAAAATCATAATTTAGCCAATATCTTTATGTTGTTTCTAACCCGTGTAACTTTTCTTTCTTCTTTGGAACACAAAATAATATATTTTGAAGAATGTTTCAACTATTTTTTTCTATGCAATAAAGTCAATGGGGTCCAAAGCAACATTGGACCCCACTGACTTTTATTGGACACTACACTAAAAGTTTTGAGTCGGTAAGATTTTTAAATGTTTTTTAGTCTTTTATGCTCACAAAGGCAGCATTTATTTGATAAAAAATACAGTAATATTGTGAAATATTTTACAGTTTAAAAGAACTGTTTTCTATTTTAATATATTTCAAAATGTAATTTACCCCTGTGATGGCAAAGCTGAATTTTCAGCATCATTACTCAAATCTTCAGTGTCACATGATCCTTTAGAAATCAATCTAATATTCTGATTTGGTGCTCAAGAAACATTTCAATTGTGCTGTTATTATTTTTTGGAAATAGTGCAAAACATTATTTTTTTACTTGATTAATAGAAATGTATTTGACATAGAAATCTATTGTTACAGTGTAAAGATCTTTACTGTCACTTTTGGTCAATTTAATGCAACCCTGTGGAATAAAATTATTATTAATTTCTTTCAAATTAAAATCTTACTGACTGTAAGTATGAATGAATGTATGAAAAAAACCCACTAAGATCTTCTTTTGAGTTCCACAGACAAAAAAAAAAAAAAAATCCTACAGGATTGGAATGACACGAGTCAGCTAAAGATGACAATTTACTTTTTGGGGTAAATTATTATCCCTTTAATATTTACCATATACTAATATATATTCTCATGGACATATTTACATGTAATTTAAAAAAAAAAAATCTTTAATGGAAATACCACAGAATACCACAGAAATAAACCAGTGGCCAGTTGCATAAACTAGGCTACTTAGACTATGTCTTAAAAGTTAGTCATCTAATTATTTTCTTAAAGATTGGTTCTAACTTTTTGAAGTCTGTTGCATAAAAAGGTTGATCTGTCTAATTTTAATCAGAAAATTAAGACTGATGCTGCTAGTTTGTCAGACTAGTTCTTAAGACCTTGAGATCTTAGTGGCTCAGTTTATGCAACTGGCCCAGATATACTGGTTCTGTTGCACTGTAATGTCAGATCCCTGACTACTGTAAATCTGCCGGGAGATTCTGCCGCTTAGCACTTGAGTCCTTAATCTAAAATCAACAGAGCATTATATTAGCTGAACCTCTGTAATATTAGCACTTGATTATCTCTCATTTAGCTGGGATAAGAGAAAAACAAGAGGAAGAACCAGAGAAAATAAGCGGATTCAACATTACTTTATTTGAAATACCCCAATATTAGATAATGTGAATGCCCTAATTATATGATTACACGTTAGAATGAGAAGCCACCTGTTTTCAGTTGACTATAGGTCTATCTTTGCTTCGTATTTAGTATCTATTGCCTTGGGGAAGCTGTTGCACTGGCCATATTTAGAGAGTATTTTAAGGCTTTATGAGATCGGAGGGGAATGTGGGATTAAGGAGAGCAGCTGGTCTGTCCACAGCACTTACGGCTTACACAGTAAAGTTGTATTTTGTATCTACTTTTAAAACGGCATGTAGCAACAGGTGATTTGGGACAGCAAACACATCTGATGGACCTCAGGATCTCTATACTACTGTGTACCCTGGAGCCTCAATGTGCGTAATGGGAATATTATCATTGTCTGTGACCCTACTTGTGTGTCATTTAAGATGGGTCTTGTCACATCATCAAAGTCATGCTTGTGGTACTATTTATAGTTTATGATTGTGGCTGACGGGGGTAACTGGTCTCACTACCACTGGGAACATTACACTCGCATGAAGTCACGGCCAGAGCATGAGGAAACACTCACCAAGCCCCTAAGGGAGCATGCTACATTCCTCTCCCCTGTGTCCACATCGACGTCATTCCCACCACAAGAATGAGGCAAGATCCTCAAACATGTACTTACTGGGTTTCTATTCTCGTGGTCATCAAAAAGTTTGAGGTTTGATGTCCCTTTCTCAGATGATTCTGTTTGCTTCGTGATTTCGACCTTGTTTGTCTGGGTTGTCATGGAAACCTTCAACGCTGGTCGTTTCTGGGTTCCAATGGGCTTTTGAGCTCTCTTTGATTCTGAGGGACTTTCCTGTGCATTCTCTGACAGTTTTTCACTCTTTCTGTATGTTATGTCCATTTTCTTTCTAGATTCAGTCACTGAGGCGATCTGAGAGTCCTGAGCTCTCTTTGATTCGTTTGAGGGACTTTTGTTCACATTCACTGACTGTTTTTCATTCATTTTTGTGTCTGTTATGTCCATTTTAGTTGTAGATTCAGTCACTGTGGTGATTTGAGCACCTTTAGCTCTCTTTGATTCTTCTGAGGCACTTTTGTTCACATTCACTGACTGTTTTACATTCATTTTTGTGTCTGTTATGTCCATTTTCTTTCTAGATTCAGTCACTGTGGTGATCTGAGCACCTTGAGCTCTCCTTGATTCTTCAGCGGCACTTTTGTTCACATTCACTGACTGTTTTTCTTTCATTTTTGTGTCTGTTATGTCCATTTCGTTTCTAGATTCAGTCACTGTGGTAATATGAGCACCTTTAGCTGTCTTTGAATATTCTGAGGCACTTTTGTTGACTATCTCTGGCTGTTTTGTACTTTTTTGTCTGTCTGTTATGTCCATTTTCTTTCTAGATTCAGTCACTGAGGCGATCTGATCGACTGTGTTCTGTACCTCCATCTTCTCATTGGAAGTCCCTCTCTCATTCATCATCTCTTCCCCTCTTCCAGTTGGTCTGTTTTCCTTGTTTTTCTCTGTTGCAGCTGTTGAGATTTTGAGCTTCTTCTTGATATAATGCTCATTGGTCTGTTTGCTGGAGGCACTATGCACAGTCTCATGGATATACATTAGCCCCTCACTGTCTTTGTCTCTGTTTGCAATCATTTCAGAGTTTGAGATGCCATGGAAAAGTCCTGCTGCTGACACTTGTACTGGAGCAGCCAGTCTGTCCTCTACTGGAGGTGTTTCCACCTCTACGGCTTTCTCCTCTGAAGGGCTGCCAGCGCCCCTGGTCTCCATGGACCTGCGTTTCCTCTGGGCTCTTTCAGGACTACTCATCCTGTCGTGCTCAAAGGCTGCTGGGACATTCTCTTTGCCTATATTGCGGTGCTCCTCCTGCTCTTGGCGACGGTTCTCGTTTCGCAGTTTAAGCTTTGCAAAGTAATTTTGATGAATCTTGTACTCGCTCATTGTTCCGACCTCCAACACACCTGAACATGACACAATGCCTCGACTGTTCTGTGCTGATGCTTGGTAAATTGCAGCATCCTCCAGAGTACAGCTAAGATAGAAATAAGCACTGTAAATGTTCACTAAACAATAATCAAAAGAAGAAAAAAGGTTCTCAGAAAAGAGCATACTTGTATATTTGGAGTGTGTGTGTCTTGTCATCACGTGATATTTCATATTTGGGAAGGCCGCAGTATCTGTCCAGCTGTATGTCATCTTTGTACCATGTCACCTCAGGGACTGGGTAGCCTGCAAATGGGATGGTCAAAAACAAAACCTGGTGAGCAGAAAGTTTGGACCACTTTAGTAATGTTCCATTATAGAGTATAATGCATTCGCTTGCTTTGATGGGATACCTGAGACCACACAGTTGAACTTGACGTTAGCATCTTCAGACACAGCTTTGGATTTTAAGGTGGCCTCAAATGTTGGCTGTGTATCCTCAGTTAATTGAGCCATGACACTGCAGAGAGTGCTCCTAAAATGGAGGTAAATATATAATTGATCTAATGCTAAATTTGCATAAATCATTTGCATAATCATCAGCACAGCACTGTCATCACTGTCACCATTATTGTTAACATTCATGCAAAGAAAGATTCACAGTGGTTATATTAACTAGGTGAGACACAATATTAAAATAAACGGAAAATTCTAAATATTAGAACTGAATAACCAATAGTTTGTTAGATGTATAAATTAGCTGAGAATATGTTGTTTTACTCTAGATAATGGCAGGTAATTCTGATGTTACAGCATCATTGATGTGTTTATCAAGCTTTCCTAATATCTTACAATGACTTCACAAATTGGGTGTTTTTTCTATGTCCCTTCTATGTTTTATTTTTGTTGTATGAAGATGACAATAAAAAGAAAATTAGTCTTTTAAAAAGTTTTTTTTTACCATAACTTCATAATTTATTCATTCATTTTATGTATAGATAATATGGTTCTATAAATTGTTTTTGTGATTTTAAAGGGGCTATATGTAAGAATTTTCATGTATTAAACTTTTTTTTATTACCAATGTGTTATAGTTATGTCTGTTCTGTATCTGTTTCCCTGAGTTTTCCCCGTCATTGTGTATTTGGTTCAGTCCTGTTCCCAGTTTTCCCGCTCCTTGTTAGTGTTCAGTTTATTCACCTGTGTTCTGATTTGCCCCAGCTGTGTCTTGTTCCCTCATCCCGTCTGTGTATTTAATCCTGTCTGCTCTTTTGTTCTTGGTCAGTTATTGAATGTATGTATTTTCGAGTGTCTTGCCTGTTCTGAGTTTTCCCTAGTTTGTATTATTAAAGTCTACTGCTGCATTTAGATCCGCCTACTGCCTTTGCTTCCACGCAAAACGTAACAGAATAACTGACCCACTAGGATCTAGCAGCCATGCCTACCTGGAGTCCTGATGTCCAGATCCTCTGTCTTCGCCAGGAGAATCGCGCCATCGAGGATTATGTCGCAGAATTCCTCGAGCTGGCATATCTCGCGCAAATGAACACCCACGGCCTGAAGATCTTCTTCCGCGGAGGATTATCGGAACCACTCCGGTCTCTGATGCCCGAACCTGGTCCTCACGGATCTTTAGAATGGTACGTTGACCTGGCCCTGTTGTGGAGCGGTTCCCCGTTTACTGTGGGCGTGGAGGAGAAGCTGCGAGAGCCTGCGCTTAACGTCAGCCCGGTCGCGCCCGCGCTTCACTTCAGCTGCTCAGCCGAGACCACGCTCCACAAGCCTGCGCTTCACGTGAACCGAGTCGAGCCCGCTTTCCACGACATGCCTGAGCTTCTTCCTGCCGAGACCGACATGCCTGAGCTTCTTCCTGCCGAGATCGACATGCCTGAGGCTGAGCTTCTGTCTTCCGAACCTGCACGTCGCTTCAGCCTCGACGAACCCGAGTCAAGTGAGTCAAGTGCTGCCGAGTCAAGTGAGACCGCGCTTCCCGAGTCAAGCGAGTCAATTGCCGCCGAGTCAAGCGAGTCAAGTGCCGCCGAGTCAAGTGAGACCGCGCTTCCCGAGTCAAGCGAGTCAATTGCCGCCGAGTCAAGCGAGTCAAGTGCCGCCGAGTCAAGTGAGACCCCGCTTCCCGAGTCAAGTGAGTCTACCGAGTCAAGTGAGTCTACCGAGTCAAGTGAGTCTACCGAGTCAAGTGAGTCTACCGAGTCAAGTGAGTCTACCGAGTCAAGTGAGTCTACCGAGTCAAGTGAGTCTACCGAGTCAAGTGAGTCTACCGAGTCAAGTGAGTCTACCGAGTCAAGTGAGCCTACCGAGTCAAGTGAGTCAAGCCCAGTGACGCGTCATCGCAGGAGGAGAAGGAGGTCTCGTTTGCCTCGCCAGGCTCCGAAGGGCGTTCCCAGACTCCTCGCCCTGCCGGCCCCGCCTCTGCGCCTCGCCCTGCCGGCCCCTCCTCTGCGCCTCGCCCTGCCAGCCCCGCCTCTGCGCCTTGCCCTGCCGGCCCCGCCTCTGCGCCTCGTCCTGCCTGCGCCCTTCAAGCTCCGGGAGGCCTGCCCGGAACCCTTTTACCACCTGGAGGTTCCTCCCGAGGATTTCCCCAAGTATTTTTTGGGGGGGGGCAGAAGGTACTCCGTGAGGGCCATGGAGACGACGTCGACATGGTCCTCATCCTCGTCTGAGTCTGCTCCGACCTGGCCACCATCTCATCGTGCTCCGCCCTGGCCTTTGCCACGCCATGCTCCACCCTGGCCTTTGCCACGCCATGCTCCACCCTGGCCTTCACCACGTCATGCTTTGCCCTGGCCTTCACCACGTCATGCTCCGCCCTGGCCTTCACCACGTCATGCTCCGCCCTGGCCTTCGCCTCATCCTGCTCCGCCCTGGCCGCCGTCACGTCCTGCTCCGCCCTGGAGGCTTCCTGTTCCGGGCAAGCCACGCCCTCGTCAGCCTCCAGGGCGCCCACCCTCCCGCCCCTATTTGATGTTTATTCGGCGCGGGGACACGCCTTATGGAAGGGGGGGATAATGTTATAGTTATGTCTGTTCTGTATCTGTTTCCCTGAGTTTTCCCCGTCATTGTGCATTTGGTTCAGTCCTGTTCCCAGTTTTCCCGCTCCTTGTTAGTGTTCAGTTTATTCACCTGTGTTCTGATTTGCCCCAGCTGTGTCTTGTTCCCTCATCCCGTCTGTGTATTTAATCCTGTCTGCTCTTTTGTTCTTGGTCAGTTATTGAATGTATGTATTTTCGAGTGTCTTGCCTGTTCTGAGTTTTCCCTAGTTTGTATTATTAAAGTCTACTGCTGCATTTAGATCCGCCTACTGCCTTTGCTTCCACGCAAAACGTAACACAATGTGTGATGTGAACAGCTTGTAATGAAACTTTAAAAAAACGAGACCTTCCCCGACTTCATAGGTTGTCTATGATAGCTGTAAACTGATTTTTATGTCAATGACTCGGGATGGTTTTGTCGGGAAAATCAAAGGAATGTGTTGCGCGCGCTCCCAAGAGGCTCTCTTCCATTCAATGACACACTAAATAGGCCTATATTATTCAATTTTTAGGAGTCAGGACAATGCCGAAAGAGCCATTCTGTACTGTAATGTCAATTGTCATGCAAAGAAAGGGAATAATTCAAACAGTCTCACATAGCCAGATTGATATAGTCTCAAATATAGCCTACTTTATAATCAAACTATCATTACAGTGTAATTTTAATTACCTGTCAACATGATGCTGGTGAATTGCAGAGGTGGTGCAAACATATCCATATTGCTATGATAAGATGCTTTCTTAACTGCTGCTTTCTCACCGCTGTCATTTTTGTTTTGCATTTATTTTGTTATTGAAATGAAAGTGCGCAGCATATTTACACATTCATTCTAAGTGTCGCTCTCAGCAGCGTGGACAACGTTGGGATGTTCGTTAACAGTATATCGCTGCAAAGGTATTTGAAACTTCTTTTTGCTTCTAAGCATATAACGAAAAAAAACGTGGCCTTGTGTATTTTGGGGCATTGAATCACATTCAGTCTCTTCTCTCTTGTAATGTGCATGAGTACGAGCGCAGGCATGAGCAACGAGTTGCTGGCTGCAGTTCACCTAACGGCCACCGGTTTCACTAATTAAACAGGTTTCTGAATTCTACATATAGAGTCATTAATTACTCCCCCTCATGTTGTTCCAAACCCATAAGACTTTCGTTCATCTTTGGAACACAAATGAAGATCTTTTTTAATGAAATCAGAGCTTTCTGTCCCTCCATTGACAGCCTACGCAACTACCACTTTCAAGACCCAGAAAAGTGACACAATTAAAGTAATCCATGTGACTCCAGTGGTTTGACCTGAATTTTATGGTGACGCAAGTGCTTTGTTACGCAAATTTTTATTTAATTTTACCACTTTAGTTACAGAATATTAATCTCAGATGTGCGTTCACGCAACAACGTCTGCTCTCGCATCAACACGCATGCATCATGGTGCACCCGTGAACGCACGTTTGAGATTAATAATTTGTAAATAAAGTGGTAAATTATTTTTTTTTGCGTGAACAAAGCACTCGCGTCGCTTCAAAAAATTGAGGTTAAATGGAGTCACATGAATTACTTATGATGTCTTTACTACCTTTCTGGGGCTTGAAAGTAGTTGCTTAGGCTGTCAATGGAGGAACAGAAAGCTCTCAGATTTCATCAAAAAGATCTCCATTTGTGTTCTGAAAATGAACAAAAGTAAGGACATGAAGGCAAGTAATTAATGACAGAATTTACATTTTTGGGTGAACCCTTTATTCTAGATAAGTAAGGAGCATGCTTGAAATATCAATTGTGAGCAGGATATTTGTATTGTGCATACAACTATTTATGTACATTTAGGATACAGGACATACAATTTTTTAACACCATCATTTTCATTGCAAAATGTGATGGAAATTACACATTGGGAATTTTCATGAAAAATGGAAAAACATCAGATTTCTCCTGTGTATGTTGGACATTGTTAGTGAAAAAAAATTAAATCAACTATTGAGAGTGTGAAAAGTGTGTTTTAAGAGACTATTTTCTAAAAGTCCACAAGGACAAAAGTGCCTGAAATTGAAGAAACACCCATAAATCAAACCTGCTGAGAAATTTGTTAAGTTAGTTCTGGATAACAGTTGCCTTTTTAACTGGATGGCTTGAACTGAGAGAATCTATGGCCAACATAGCTAAGCAGAGATGAAACGAGCACAAGAATCAGCCATGCACACAAGTTTGTTTTAGTGGTGAACAAAATCAACTATAGCATTCAGGTCTATTTGAAATTAAGGACATGAATTTCTGTATTTTGGGAATTATGTTGGCCAAAACTGAAACCAATAAAATCTCCATAGTAATTTAATGCATGTCACATTTATTTTTTGTACATTGTAAAGCTTTCATAATATTTAAAGGTTGTGTTTTTGACAAAACAGATTTGATAAAACCGTTGCTACTGCGGTAAGTTGGGCACTGGTGAATACTAAAAGACATTTATTGAGGGTGGCCATACTTATTTATAACCTTATGACCTTCACACAAGCCTTTCAAGAGTCCGACAGACCAGTGGTGGAGCTCTGAACTATTGGCAGTAAAGTAAGGAAATCAAATATCTTCTCTTCAATCACCCTGTATTCTATGCTTACACAGTTTTTTATTATTATTAGTTTATTCCGAATTATAAACAACGTAAGCTTGAATTAATTTGTAATAGCATATGGCTTTTAATATGCACTATTTATGTGCTGTTTATTTAGGCTTATGAATCTAAATTGTTGTTTAAGCCCTACTGCATTATTTATCACAAATCTCCAATTTAACAATCACTAAAAGCATGTATATTTTGAAAGCAGTCATTATTTAACAGATGCCTTTATCAACATATTACAGGGACAGTCCCTCTGTAATAACCAGAGTTAAATGCTTTACACAAGGGCACTGATTTTACATCAGGAATCATAAACCTGTACCTGCTTTCAGATCGGACACTGCTCAGGTAGCTCCTACTGCCAGACCTTCTATTCTGAGAGGTGATATCGCTGGCACTGTAGTAAGACCTTCCATCACTCGAGAGCGAACGGTTCATCAGCCTTCTGGAACTCATCTTCTTAATCTGTAAGTCTCCACATGCATTCACAGAGTCAGCTGCTTGTATCCAACATTCTTAAAGCCTGTCAACATTAAACGCAAAAGTGTTTGTTTCCCCAAACTTAGAAAGTTAAGGAGTCGAGCAAAAATCTTCTGTCATCACAGCCAGCATCCCAGCAGTAGATTTCTCACTGGTTTATGTCTTTACTTTGACACTCAGGACAGGGGTGCACTCTACAAGCTCAGTGTTTTCTTTCAGTGCCGTTGGACTCCTGGGGTGGTGCACGGGGGCATAAGACTCTGCTGTTTCCAATCAGTCTGCAGCTTGCATGGCCTTGAAGGCTAATTATAGCAGGGCCACAAATAGGCACACAAGCACATCACATTTTCCAAAACTGACTTACTTGTTTTTTTTGTTTTTTTTTTTTTTTTTTACTAAAACATCATTCTCTTGCTGAAATCCATGATCGAAGTCCCTCTTACGTTTTTTAAGCTCACTACCAGCACCACTAGCATAAACAGGTAAGCAGAACCATGTTAATATGCTCCCAAGTGGGTGTTGAGAGGATACGTGGTGTTTGTTAGTCCTGTCGTAACCCAGCATAACCCTTAAATGGACAGTCTATTCAAGTAAACCTGCTCGTCTGCCTGATGGCATTTCTCTGAGCTCCATTAAATCTGACTATAAAGTCAGGCATCTGGGACATGGGGATCCTTTCCAGACACCAGGAGGCTGTAGTTACATGGACATCTCATGATGATAGTTTTCATCCTGTGTTGATCAATGGAAGTATGGAAAGCTTGTCGAGGATTTTGATTTGTGGTGCCACATGCAGGTGAACATCAGGTCACACCAGGAACCACTGAAACCAGTAACCTTCCAAAATGTACCTCTTTTGTATGAAATGGGCTGGATATGGCCTACACAACTGTTAAAAAATATATTTTTATGAAAAAAATACAGTTAAAACAGTAACATTGTGAAATATGATTATTTCTTATTTCTATTGCTAGCTCTCCCCTCTCATCTAACCTTTTAGGTTTGGCCGAAGATTAGCATTAGCAATATATGAAAATTTGTTGAGAGAGATTTGGATGAGAGGAGTGTTTCTGCCGACTAGTGGTAATTGCTTAACATTGCAATGATTTCTGAAGTGATCACACTAGCCTCAGATTGATTACTCAAATACATTAAGATATTAGTTAAACGTCATTTATCATGCACTTTCACATCAGTAGGCTACACTTATATGTAAGTAGAACATTTAGAAAAGGCCTCGTTCCTGTTCCTACAATGTCTCAGAGGATCGCAGCAAGGTTTCTGGAAATTATTTTAAACTAGTTCAGTAAGAATGCTGAGAAGAAGACATTTACAACTGTATCAAGGCAATTTTATATACTAAAAGTAGAATCAAGATGACAATTCTACATCGATTACTGCAGACCAACATCAACATCATTCTTATTTAGCCTATTTTTTTAATGATTTTATGAAACTTACAAAACTGATTACGTACAGTAAGTACATTAAATTTGGTTTGGAGAAGGTTTATTTTTTTAGAAAAACATAAAAATAAAATGCTTTAATGCCTTCTTGGTACAACACAGGGTAACCAAATTATGGTATGAATCAATGAAAATAAAATATGTAATTCACAGAAAATAATAATCTGATGCTGTTCAGTGAGCAGGAAGATCACATGGCTCAGGCACAGTCGAGTCATTGTATAACAGTGTAATTCATTATCCATTTCAGATTGACTTCTGAAATACAATATTTCAATCTGCTATTGCTTTGAGTAAAACATACCATTTGAAATGTCCGTGTCCATTCCCACCAGTAAGAGATCTGAAGAATTAGTCAGTCACAGTATATTAGAGCTGATTTATAGTGCCACCTACCGATTGCAACCGGCACAGTGTCAGACAAACAATCAACACATTCTTAGGTTACTGAATTTGTAATGGACTTCTCAACCATCTTTGTTGTTTTAGGTTAACAAAACACTTTTCTGCTGGCTTATCAGTGTCATTTTGTATTGCTTAATTTTTTTTTGTATTATTATCGCATAATCACCAGTACAGAGACAAACATGATTGCGATGCAGGTGTTTTCATCTGTGCCATCAGTGGTATTGTTCATTCTGTTGTTTCTAGTTGTATTAGGTTATTTTATGAAGCTACACACACGCAACACCAGCACATAAAATAATTACATCACATATGTTGCTTTCTTGAAATGTAGGGTTTTCAACCCCCAAATATGATTTAGATCTTTTCAGGACATTTGCAATTGCTGCAGGCCTGACAACTGAGAGTACCAATGAGTTTAAGTTAGGTTTTATTTTTATTTTCTTGACATAAGCTTTTCTACCAAAGATATTTATCAAAATGTGCATATAGTTATGTGTGATTACTTCCACAGATGACCTTTGTGTCTTAAATTTACCATCGGTTTGTCATTTAAAATAAATTACTCTGCCACTATCTTACAGCTATACAACCCTTTACTATATGTGTCTCATGAAGGCAACAGAAAAGAAACAGAAATTGAACATTCTGTTTTTTGGTTTAGACTGAAAATGCATTTACCAATTCAGCCATTCTGAGACTATGTGCCTTTGGATAAGATCATTTCATAATCACACAACTGATAATCAACAAATTCATCATCACCTACAGAAGACATCGTCACATTTTAATTCGGAAAATTAAGGCTGTGTAAGTGGAAGAATGAGGTCTCCAAAATATTGATGCATGCTTAAAAAAATAGTTGAACAAATCATAGATAATTCAATGTTTTTTTTTCAGAAATAGTTTAGACTTTCAAATATTTCACATTACTTTGTCCATCCAGTGCACTTTCTTCACCCTCATTAGAACATTTGAATCTCAAGGCCGCCATCTTCCACTAAATATCAGTGCTCATTTGTATGGGATAGAATATCGTTTCTCGCTCTGGATTGATTGGTTAAAGGTCAGTGGGAATTTTCAGATGACCCATACCTTGGTCTTTACACAAATGTATTCTCAGTAACTCTTTACCATAAGGTTGAATGTATTAATCCATTAGGTAAGTGAGGATAGGAGCAGGCTTCACTCAATGTATACACTAATAAACTTTAAGAGTGCTGGCCTGGATGATTAGAATACGAAAATGAGGAGAAAGGCCGCACTATGCATGTTCTTTTTATTTTTATTTTTATTTGCACAGACGCATTTCGGCACGTGCCTTCTTCGGTGTGCAACAAAATCACAATGTAGCCAATCTTATATGCCCACACCCATTGATACACCCATATTAACACCAACCAATAATGTTAAAGTGATATCCAGTCCAATAATGTCACTAATGTTTCTAACAGTCCATTAATGAAAGAAAACGACTGTTATACATATAAAAAAAAAAATGGACATACAATATCACTTTAACATTATTGGTTGGTGTTCATATGGGTGTATCAATGGGTGTGGGCATATAAGATTGGCTACATTGTGATCTTGTTGCACACTGAAGAAGGCACGCGCCGAAACGCGTCTGTGCAAATTAAAATTAAAATAAAAAGAACATATGCATAATGCCGCCTTTCTCCTCATTAATCCATTAGGTATCATGAACTAACAATGAGCAACCATATTAAAGCATTTTTTTATTTAAGTTAATTTAAGTGTACTATTCTTCATTGTTAATTCCTGCTCGTTCATAATAAAGATGAATAAATAGTTTATGAGTTCATGATACCTATAATGTTAACAAATTTAACCTTATAGTAAAATGTTACTAAATTCTCATCAAAACACCACTGAAGCACTATTAAAAGAGATGACACTGTCAATGGCTTTGATCCATACCATCATCCCACAATCATGTTTATAGTATGGTATGGATCAAATTTACACCCTGTACCAACATATTACACTTACAAAATACCTCATCCAAAAAACCTCCAAACTCACTCTCAAACTGTCCAACATTAAAGGGATAGTTCACCCAAAAATGAAAATTCTCTCATCCTTTACTCATCCTCATCATGTCATACGACTTTGATTAATCTTCGAAAAACAAATGAAGATATATTGAGAACCCGAGAAGTTTCTGTCCCTCCATTGAAATTCCAGGTAACTAAAACTCCAAAAAGGTCATATAAAGGTGTCATGAAATGAATCCATACAAATTGGGCAGTTAAATCCAAGTCTTTTAAAGAGATACGGTCACTTTATATGATGAACAGAATTAAACATATCACAAATGGTAAAAATTGAAGTTTTTTTTTTATTATTCATCAAAATCTCTCATAATTGATTCTCACATTGGAGCTTCTGTTTACCATATGTGATGTGCTTTCATTACTACTCATTATGTATCATGCCAACAAAAGACAACATTGAATCTGTTCATCATGTAAAGCGATCATATCTCTTCTCAAGACTTGTAATAAACCAATTGTAATAAATTACGACAAACTGCATGGACTTCAATAAAGGAACAGAAACCTCTCAGGTTTTATTACAAATATCTTGTGTTTCATTAGATTAGATTAACCAACATCTTATGGGTTTAGAACAACATAAGGGTGAGAATTTTCATTTTTGGGTGAACTATGGTTGTCTCGGGCCCTGTCTATTCTCTGGCCAATAAAGGCAACTTTGTCTTTGATTGCAGTATGAGGTCTAACTTATCACAGTCTGGTTGAATATTTCTTGAGTGTAGATATTATATTTAAATTTTAGATAAAGGACGGGTGGGTGACAACAGCATTTAAAGACCTATACATACAATTTTTTACCCAAATGCTGCAGAGAACAATTTCACAATAACTAGAGTTGAAACACACAGGTTCCCGTCTTGGCATGGTAGGAAGTCCAAGGGCTTTGGCTATGTAGATAATAGTAATTTCGTTTTAATCTCATGGTACATGGTATGATATTAATGCTTAGAACGTCCCACTCTCAGACTACTACACACTACACTCTCAGGAGAGAGGGGTGCTTATGCACTCAAGTCTCAGTTATTTGTTAATGAGATTCCCACCCATCCAGCGCAACTTGCAGGCCAGCCAGCGCCTAAGGGGGCAAAAGTATTCATAGTGGAACTGCTGGAATTCGGGTGTCCTCCGGATGTCCCTAAGAAAGGCCAAGTCCAGCTCAGATTCTGTTAGCACAATAAGAAGGATAAGGAGGGCAAAGAGCAGAGCCAGGGTCACTAAGAAAAGACGAGCCAAACTACAGATGAAATCATTCACCCCTTCCTCCTCTGGGCCATGTTGGGTTGGCCGAGTCTTCTCCAGGTGGGAACGTTTCCCTTTGGGCTTAACGGCCTGTGACCTTGCCTGGTTTTGAGTGCACGGTTCTGTTCCTCCTTCATCTTGGATTCTGCGTGGGCCGTTTGTGTGGCGCACCTGAGCCTGGTCTGAGGGGTCGTTGGACACAGGTGTGGGAAGCACGCTGTCAGAGGGATTGTAAGAATCTTCAGAAAATTCAGCTGTTCCACTTCCTCCCTCGGCTCCATTTCCATGGGAGCGTAGGAATGAGTTGCCATTGGAGACCGACCGCACTGGTGTGGAATGGCCACTGTCACGCAGGGACTCCAAACCTGAAACAGAGTAACGATGTTCAGTGATTGTGATGCATTGATGTCTATTTGCTTTTAGGGTTTTGTACCAGTCAGAATTGAATTTAGAATGCCTTTTAAATTCAAATTTGAATTGAGGTAGCAAACAGGATTGCTAGTATAAATAGATAAATTATGAATTTAAGGAAGTATAAATGAACTGAAATAAGTGTCATTTTATAGCAAGGAATCAAGAATGATGGTTTGGCAAAGCATTGCCTGAAAGTTTAGAGTAGTTTAAAAAGTTGAAAGTTTTGCGAACAAAAGTTTTAAGTCTTAGGAACAGACAGATATGTTTGAAATGTCACCTACAAAAATTTGTACTTCATGTATACTCTATTTTTCAAATGTTTGGGGTTAGTAAGATTTGTTTTTGATAAATTAATACTTTTATTCAGGAAGGATGCATTCAATTGATCAAAGGTGACAGTAAATACATTTATAATGTTACAAAAATAAATCTAATTCAAATAAATGCTGTTCTTTTGAACTTTCGATTCATCAAAGGATCCTGTAGGACGATTTACACAAAAATAATAAGCAGCACAACTGTTTTCAACATTGATAAATATGATAAATGTTTCTTGAGGAGCAAATCAACATATTAGAATGAGTTCTGATGTGACACTGAAGACTGTAGTGATGGCAGCTAAATATTTAGTTTTGACATCACAGGATCATATTACATTTCAAAATATGCTAAAATAGAAAACAGTTATTTTAAATTATCACACCATCACTGATTTTTTTTTATTTAAACAAATTCAGCATTGGTGAGCATAAGTTACTTACAAAACACATTTAAAAAAATCATAAAAATCATACCAACCCCAAACTTAGTGTACACAGTGTATATATTATATACTTGTTATTTATTATTTTTTTACAAATGTTTATTGGCCAGGGTGGAAGAAAACTTAATTTCCCAGAAACCTGGTTACATTTCTCTAACCAATTCAGTAAATTCCACTTCCTTTAATTAAAAAAAAAAATCAGTTTTAAATTCTTTTTTTGCTAGTTAACATTTAAGTGACATTCCATTATTATTCACAAAGACCATTTTCATTCATTCAACTGGTACCAATGTATTGATAATATGCACATACTATGATGTACTGTTGTAATCAATTTACAGACTTTCAGCTGTTTGCAATGAACAAATCAAACAAAAGTAATTAAAGTAGTTCAACAACAAATGTTTGAAGTGGTTCCCCAAATTCAACTGAAAATGCAACTTTTAGTGACTTCTGCAGTCTCGAAATTATTCAACCCCGTGAATAGAATCCCTCGCTTCATTAGTTGCACCAGGTGTGCTTGAGCTAGAACACATGTGTGGCAAGTAGGGCAAGGCAGAGAGCCGAGAGAGAACAGCGCGACCCGGTGGCGTGATTGATAATGAGCGTCACCTGCACACCACACCGGCCTCGTATCTCACGGAGGAGCTACGGAAGCATAAAAGGAGCGACGACAGTGAAGGAAAAGAGAGGACCAGGCCTGGACTATTTTAAGTTATGTTTTGTTTATGTGCTTTTATGTTTATGTTACTTTCATTTTGTATTTGTTTTTTTATGATTAAAGTTGTTGAACGTTCGCTGGTGCCCGCCTCCTTCTTCCCCTGGAGAACTAATCGTGTTACAACACAAAATATCTGTACTGGCTAGGTTTGTTGATTGTCACGCTTGACTGCATGTTAGAAATATGTCAAAAGAATGGTCCAAAAAGTTAAGAGAAGATATCATCGCCCTTCACAAACAAGAAAAAAGATACAAAAATATTGCAAATGGCACTAAAATGTTCCTAGAGAAACCGTTGAAAGCATAGTTCGCAAGTTCAAAGTTAAAGGAACAGCGGTTACACTACCTGGGCGGTGCAGAAAAAGGAAGCTATCAAAGGCTGCAACCAGATTTCTGAGAAGGTAGGTTCAGAAAAACCCTCTCGAGTGACTGCAAAGGACCTGCAACAAGACTTGGTGGCAACAGGCACTGAGGTTTCAGCTTGCACAGTAAGGCGCATACTAAATGTATGCGGTTTCCATGCCAGAACTCCAAGACATCCACCACTACTGACCCCAAAGCACAAGAAAAGGGCTTAAAATCAACTAAATGAGCCACAGAAGTTTAGGGATTCTGTTCTGTGGAGCTATGAAACAATGGATCAGCCTTATGGATCAGCGGTATGCCTGGAGGAAGAAGAATGAAGCGTATGCTGAAAAGAACACTCTAACCTACAGTTAAGCATAGTGGCTCTGTGATGCTCTGGGGCTGCTTATGCTCTGGCACTGGAAACCTGCAGCGTGTGGAAGGCAAGATAGATTCATTGAAGTATCAGGAAATCCTAGGAGAAAACATCATGCCATCAGTGAGGAAGCTGAAGCTTGAACCTTTCAACAGGACAATGATCCCAGGCATACCTCAAATTCCACCAAGGCTTGGTTGCAGAAGAAGTCCGGGAAGATTCTACAGTGACCATCACAGTCACCTGACTTGAACCCCATAGAAAATCTCTTCTGGGATTTGAAGAAGGCGGTTGCAACATGCAAACCCAAGAATATTTGCCATTGCTCATGAGGAACGTGCTAAGATTCCTCAGAAACGCTCCCAGAAGCTGGTGTCTGATTATACATCTCTTGATTATACAAGATGCTAGCCATGAAGGGGTTGAATAATTTTGAGACTGCAGTAGTCATTAAAAGTAATTTTCAGTTGAAATGGTGAAACCACTTGAAACATTTGTGTTGACCAATTACTTTTGTTGGATTTGTTCATTGCAAACAGCTGAAAGTCTGTACATTTTGCCAGTAAACCTGATTTGCAATGGGGGTTGAATAATTTTGATTACACTGTAAATATAATTAGTGTATATTGTGAACCACACAACAACACAGGAAAATCTGCCTCCACCCACAATCCATAAAAGCTAAACACAATCCATGCTAACAATGGTGGCACTCCAATCCGCTGTATATTAACAAATTCAAATGCAGTCACACTGAAATAAGTTGGACGCCCAGCTGTTCCAAATGACCAAGAGCTTTACCTGCAGTGCTGGTGGGTTGAACACCAAGTCTGGATGAAGCTCCAGAGGAAGTGGAGGAGCTGGGCAAAGAAGGGAACAGAGGCAGAGCTCCTAGAGCTTTCCCTAATAGTCTAGGTCCCATCGTCAACACCCGTACCTTCACATCCCGGTAACAGTGGTTGATCATCCGCAGCTGAACATTCACCTTTGTTTTAATCCGTATGAGACACTTCACCATGGTTTCAGAATGTAGCCGCTAAAGTGTCTGATGTTCTCGCCCCTGCGTCAGTGTATCACCAATAGCCCCCTTTCCTCCCTCTATCCTCCTGAACAAAAATGACATAACACTACAGTGTGTGTGTGTTTGAAAAAGTGAGTGTGAGAAAGCGAGAACACCCTAAAGCCCTAAAGCTCCATAAGTCCCTCTATGCCCAGAAGCCCAGCTGCCCTGCAAGCTCCAACCCCCTCAAACCCATTATGGGCTGTAACAAAAGAGCACATACACAACACACACTCATTCTGACACAAACCACATGACATACATGGACAGGCTCTCTATTTATAGACAGTGTAATAATAACAGTGATGATACCTAGTTGGACAAGGTAAAATCTGTCACTCATCATTGTCTCTGTATTTTCTTGTGCATGACGCAAATTGTAATGAAACCCACTTGCAGGGCTTGTGAAGCCTTAATTTGTACTTCCTGTTAGCTTTTACCCCCTGCTTTATAGTGAATTATTTTTAATTTACCAGTAGCCTGTGTGTTTTTGCAAGCACACTGTGTCTGTTTCACTAAAGTACTAGACTTTTATTCTTTCTGTACAGGGCAGGTACTAAAACAAAACTAACCTTAAACTCAAAATATATAGCACACTTATAGAGTTCCCCTTACACACAGACAAATGCAACCATGATGGCATTTGGCAATGCAGTAAAGTGACTGGAACAGGTGAACGTCTGGTCACATTGTGCACAATGAGAGCAGCTCTCATGTTACTCATAGAGCAATAGAGGGAGATGGAGTGTGGTGTATTCCTATCCAGAGCACACTTTTGTTATCTTCTCAGCTTCAAGGTTTGTAATCATGACTATGTACACTGTAGTTCAAAAGTTTGGGGTCAGCAAGAAATTAATACTTTATTATGCAAGGACACATTAAATTGATCAAAAGTGATAGACGTTTATGTAGTTTAAAGAGAATTGTAACAATCTATTCATCAAAGGAACCTGAAAAAAAATACATAGTTTACACAAACATATTAAGCAGCACAACTGTTTTCAACATTGATAATAATAAGAAATGTTACTTGAGCAGCAAACCAGCACATTTGAAATATTTCGGAAGGATCATGTGACACTGAAGACTGGAGTAATGAGTAATGATGTTGCCACCACAGGAAGGAATTTCAATTTAACAGTTTATTTTATTTTATTAATTTTCATTTATTTATTAAAACAGAAAACTGTTTTTTTTATTGTAATAATATTGCATTTTTGATCAAATAAATGCAGCTTTGGTAAGCATAAGAGACTTATTTTAAAAACATTAGGAAATCTTACCCCAAACATTTGAATGGTATAGTGTGCTCTGTGTATGTTTATAGTTGAATTATATATTTTGAAAAACATTGCAACCAGAATTGTGTTGTGAACAGAACTGAATTATGAATTATAAGATATATTAATTATATTTGAATATATAATTATATTATATATTTATATATGAATAATTATTATATATTAATTATAGTATTGTAGTGGCTGACACTAAAAATTGGCAAAAAGGGTAAGGCATTAAAAAAGTACTGCAAGTTATAGTCCAGTATAGTCCACAATAATGAACCCTAGTGGAAGAATAAACCAAACCAAAAATCTCCATGATGCTTTTTATTATAGGGGAGATACAACGTTATACCACCAGATGGCAGTTTTTCAGTGAGTATGGATCAACAGATCTTGCCTTGAGTTGGATTCAGAAGAGAGAATGCATAACATTTCTAGTTACAAATTAAATTAACTTGTTATTATTAGAAAGGAGCAGTTATATGCTTTAGTGTGTGTGTGTGTGTACATTCGTGTTGTTGTTTAACCTACATTGCGAGGAGCAAATAATAGTAAATGAAGTTTACTAATAGTAAATGATGTGTGTGTGTGTGTGTGTGTGTGTGTGTGTGTGTGTGTGTGTGTGTGTGTGTGTGTGTGTGTGTGTGTGTGTGTGTGTGTGTGTGTGTGTGTGTGTGTGTGTGTGTGTGTGTGTGTGTGTGTGTGTGTGTGTGTTTGTGTATGCTTGTAGGCACATGGGCATACCCTCCATGATGGAAATATGGACTGCTCTCCTCCGTGTTCGGGGAACGCTACTCTGTCGTGGGCCATGAGTGATGGAGGGACAACTCCTACTGGGGACCATCCCAGCCCTGAACCCACAAAAAGATGTGACATAACAATTGACATACTGTCAAACACAGTAAAACTGTTAAGAAAACAAGTCAGTGTTGAGAAGACTTGCCTGTGGATCTCTGGAGGCTCTCGTCTGATTTTGGCACTCTGTTCCATCACTTCCTTGGCCACTTTACCGCTATAAGGGAAATTATGCAATCAAAATCTTAGCGTTGCTTGCAGCTAATCCATTAATTAACATATATTCACAACACAAGCCTAATTAAGCAGGGCTCACGAACTCATGAGGTTCAATAATAGCAGATACTACTCACCTATATCTAAAGCGGCTCCCTTTGAAGAAAAGATTACTACTGGACACAGTGCGAACTTGACTTGATTTCTCAAACCTGTAAGAAATGGAGAGAATGAGAGATAGATTTAAAAATAAATAAGAAAAATAACTGTTTGTCTAAACCAGTGGTTTTCAACCTTTTTGACTCGTAGGCGCCCCATTGTCCAACATAACATCTAAAGGTCCCCCATATTGGCTAAGATATTTCCTCTCGTATTTATGCTCTAATTATGACAGTTTTTATTTTTATTTTATTGACAGAAACTGGTAGAGTTAATTTAGCATTGTTACAATGTCAGTAGTAGTATATGTAAATGAACAATGTTTTCTCTTTCTCCATGTTAAATCCATGTTTATTCATGCAAAACACGTCAAAGCTCTATTGCTTTCATGAAAACTACAGATTATACTTTGAAAAGGAATTCCCCCCCAGCCTTTCTACTGCATAGGCAGCCAAGTTTTATTGAAAAACATTATGCCAGCGATGAAGTACCTCCTTTAAGTTTTGGGTTTTCATATAATTAATTTTAAGTCCTCCTGTAGACTAGAAGATTGCTGAGGCCCCAAAATGCCTAGGTGAAGAACCACTGGTTTAAACTAAATTAAATCATAGGCAAGATGTTTTATGCCTGATTGCTTGCTCTTTTTATGCTATTTCCATGCTTGAACCCAATTTCAGCCTGATAGGTCAAAAGGGTTATGCACACTCACTGGTAGAAAGCTTGGTTTTCCACCCCACACTTCCATAAATGCTTGCAGGCCTCAGGTGTTGGAGCAAAGTAAGTCAAGATGATCTTCTGATCCTTAGTAAAGGTCACAGGAGGTCAGTAAGTGAACTTATTTAGTGGTTAAATAGAACAGGTTGGTTTCCTGATCAATTCCTAGGTCCTGCATCAATCTGCATTCATCTTACTTTTGACCATTTGTTCTTCTGCATAACCTGGGGCTGCCTTGCTGTCACCTACCTCTTGATAAGTTGCATATATATGAAATGTCTTTCCTTCGAACTTTAGTTTGGTGACCTCGTTCCTGTACAATATGACAAAATACTGTCAAAGTTATTCATATACACAGTCATTTGATCTTGACTGCTAAGCAAATGAAAATGATATGCAAGATTAATTTCACCTCTCACCATTTGAGGAAATGAATCCTCCTGTTCCCCTGGAGTACCACAAAGCCAAAGGGGGTAAATGCAAGAAATGCTGCATTCCCAGACACATCCTGTCATACAAAAAATACAAAAAACTGTGATACACTTCTTTGTGAATGTAAAAATTCTGATTAAAAGACTTTCAGTTCAGACACTTGTGTTGAAATAATTTCCTGTATATGAGCAGCTTATAAATTTGGATACTGACTTTGCAGGGGTGTGGATCTACTCCATATGTTTCTAGAGACTGAGCTTTCCTTAAGAAATTCATTTCAGATGTCTCAGGACTCTGGCCTCTGTAGGAAATAAACAGACTAGTTAATATGTTTGTTCTGAGATAAATTTCATAAAATATATTTAATCTCTCCATTAAACACCAGCGCTGCTTTAAAAAGAGTGACATACTGCATGTGACAGGCTAATTGAATGTAAGCTTACGTCAGCTCGGATTTGTGGATCTCAGCAATGCGGCGCTCCAGGCGCTCAGAATGCTTTGGGAAAAACTGAAACTTAGAGCTGTAACCTTCCGGATGCTTCCCTGGGTCATAATCGCCAATCTCAGCTAAAAAAATATTGAGAAAGAATAAAACAAAAACAGTGTCATTTGAGAGTCTTGTCTTACTGTAATGTCATCCATATAACAAAGCTCTTGAGATTTCACAATTCAACAAATATTGTAAAGAATGGCTCCTGTGACTGTGGTTTGATGTTACCCTGCAGAATAAATGCGGCCAATGCAGCAGCATCTGAACTTTTGCACAGGAGTCGGCCATGATACAAATCTCTTTTAATCTGAAGGAAGACATGGTATCTGAAAACAATGCAGAGCATATATTGAACTGTCAGTGTGTTAATCATACATGCATCAGGTAATTGTAAGACTCTGTAACTTGTCTAATATGAATTCCTATAGATTCTTTAACTATGTCAATTTTGAATAATAATGGACTCCATGCAGGCCGTGAGACAGAGGGTTGATTGGTACCATTTTGAGGGATTAAACCGCATGGTGATTTTTGTGTAGGTATATGACCCTGTATTTGAAAAATGTGTGATAGTATTAGATTCAAGGTAGTTTTTGGTTACGGAGGACGATTTTCAAACATATGTCAAGAAAAAGGATAAATGAATTTATCTTTAAATAAATTTTATAAAAATTTTATAAAAAATTCATCAAATTTTATAATAAATTTTTTTTTTTTTTTTATACATTTTTAAAATTATAAAAGGATAAATTTTTCTCTCTTGTAGTCACTGAACACCTTACCTTGAGGTAGGATGATATAAGTGTTGATTTCTAATGAAAGCTACCATGGATCGGATGCTATCACACATTTTCCAACACTAGAGATGTGTACCTTCATGAAAATCAAAAAGAAATTTAATCCCTCAAAATGGTACCGGTAGCCCAAATTTGGGGTCCCGTCTCATGGCCTAATGGTAATGAGCAGTACCTAGTGATATCTTCTTTAAGAGCTGCAGGGTCCGGAGGATAGAATTTAACACGCAAACACATGGTGTAGGGTGGCTGAGCTAGGACACAAAATATCCATGTGGATGTAATTAATATCAATTTTCTGCCTTTTAGAATGATATTTGAATGCAAAGATTATTCTTTTCACAACATGCACACAGTGTAAGAAGGATTTTCCACATACAATATGACTTACATCTCATTTGTTTGGTTATTGGCTTGCTGAACTCCAGCCAGTGCTGAAACAACAAAATAAAAAATAAATGATGTCTAGAATGCAGATCGAAATTCCAGTTTAACACATTGTTATGACTAGCATAGTCAACTGATGATTGTTCACAACATTACATATCGATTGCATCACCCCTATTGCAGCTCTTCATCTGAATCAGCATGTGATCTTTGGATGTCCTGCTTCAAGCTCATGCACAAACATTAACATTGCTTTTATCAGGCATGGTTATTAACAAGTCAGAACTAGAATATGTATTAGCATGCAGGGTAGATACCATATTTAAATTGATGGGACATAGATCAAGGCTACGATGAATATACAGTCAATTTGTTGTGCTGTCTGAAAGTCTACTTTTTCACAATCCATGGCTTGTGTTTTGTTGACTGGATTTTTTTTACATTGGCTTAATAATCAAAATCAAGGCACCCAACATTACAACCCATTGAACCAACTGTACTTCTGTACCTCACAGCCTTGTTTTTATTTGTGTCAAATTAAATATGGTGTCCACCTTAACTATCATGTCCAATCTCAGTCAGAATATAAAATTAACCATTTTCCACAAGCTTAGTACACTATTAACAGCTCATTCTATATTTATACTATAGGAACTCACTCGTTGCTTGTCTGGGTCCACAAATCTGATGCCAAAGTAGTCTTTCTCCAACAAGTTTAGATAATGGCAAACCTGCTCAAAGAGCCATTGACCTTTTGCATCCCTCTGGAAAAGAGAGACACAGGAATCAATGTGACAATGTTTGTACACAGTCCTTTGGATCATATCAGTTCTATAGTATATTGGACATAACTCAACTTCTTTTATGTGTAGTGGGTAACGTAACACATTACAAGTAGCATGAGTTATGTAGCCAGATTAATCTTTTCAAGTAACGAGGAAAGTAACACATTACTTTTAAATTTAAAACAAAATATCTGAGTTACTGCACTTTTTCGTAAGTTACTTTGTTTTCCCATTTATTGACTGACAGCTCTCCTGTCTCCATGTTGAGAGAAATCGGGAGAGTGCAGAGAGTGTGCTGTGTAAATATGATGGTTATCCTTCGATGATCCAATTCAACCATACTAAGCAAAAATGACTTTAGTTAAACATCACATTTATGTTTAATTTTTTGTTTTTGTTGCTTAAGTAAGTATGTTGAACTTTCTTCTCCTGTGTCCTTTCACTTTTTTGGTGTGAAAGAGCCTTGATATTTGTAAAAATTTTTACTTTTTTTTTTTTTTTTGCAATAACAACCTACCAAGCCCAGCCCAAGTGAGAAAACGTAATGCAAAATAACGTGTACCATAACTTTAAAAAGTCACTAAGTATCACAATTAGTAACTTTTTTAGGGAGTAAATTAGTTTCACAAGTAACTTTCCCAAACACTGTTGCTGACAACCCATTTAGTGTAAGGTAAATATGTCTTAACAATGTACTCTTTCCTAATTGTGTTTAGTGTTCTTAAAAAATGTTAAGAAACAGGAAAACAGAAATTGTTGCACTTGAACAGTTGTTTTATAGAGTAATTTTCCCAAATTTTTCCAAACTATGTTTTTAACCAGTTCTTACATTATATAAAAAAAATAATTATAATAATTAATATATATATATATATATATATATATAAATATTAGTGCTGTCAATTTGATTAATCACATCTAACATAAAAGTTTGTTTACATAATATATTTGTGTATATTATATATATATATATATATATAAATAGTAACGATTGAAGTCCACTGGAGGCAAGTAGTAGTGAGAACCCAAATGCATGATCTAACATAAAACAGAGGCATGGAACTCAAAACAAGAACATAAACTTACACAACATTACAGGAAACATTCAATACTTGACAAAGACACAGGACAAACATGAGGGCTTAAATACACAGACTAATTACAAGACAAGGAACACCTGTGAACAATGATCAGATGATTAACCAATGACAAGACACATGGCAGGATCACATGACAAACAGGGAATCACATGAAAAGACACAAAAACATAACAATGACAAGAACAAGAAAAAAATCCAAACCGTGACATAAATAGCCTACAGTATATATATATATATATATATATATATATACTTAAGATGTTATCATCAGGGTGAAGCGGCAGCCTCTTCCCCCCCTCCCCCCATTTTATTTTTTATTTTTTATTTTTTTTATTATTATTTTTATTATTATTATTATTATTACCGGTACATATTTGTCTGGACCTACTTATTTAGATAGTTTATTTAGATTATTATTATTATTTTATGTCTTCCACTCATTTATTTACTGTTGTAATCACTTATTTTGCAACATTATGCTATATTGTATATGCTCCTTCTGCAATCCTTAGTTGGACAAGCACTTTAATGGACAATCATTCTTGTGAAGATCTGGATTCAAAGGAACGAATTGGGATGGTTGGTTGGTTGGGTGGGTGGGTTGGGGTGGGGGTGTATCTTTCATATTGATGAACATCTGTATAACACAGCCATAATATGTTTGAATAAATTTGGCCCAACATGTGCTGTAGTAGAAAATATATATATATATAATGCAACAACAATGCAGTGTAACAGGTTACTGAAATCTACCCCTCTATTTAACACATAATGGCTTTAAATGTTGCACGAATTCTCTCTGGAGATGTCTAACCTTGTGTACATTATATCCTAGAAAGTAGTTTGGTCAGATCTCTGATGTGAACAGCTGCAAATATACTCAGGGTCAACAAACCTTGAGCTATGGAAAGGTGCTATATAAATAAAACTTCTTCTTCTTCTTTATCAAATCTGACAAAACAAAAATGTAGGTTACCAAAATTCAAATCTGACAAAACAAAAATATAGGTTACATTAATACATAGGCCTAATGGCTTAAATGTTACCCAAATTCACACTGGTGATGACTAACCTATTGTAATTTATATCCTAGAAATATTTTTTGCCTGATGTGAACAACTGCAGATACTCAGTATCACCAAATCCAACAACACAGCATTAAAGGTTACCTAAATCTGTTACCTCATCTATAGCAGTTTATCCTGATGTGAACAGCTGCAGGAATACAGCAGGGTCACCAAATCCGACAAGGCAGCATAACAGGTCACCGAAATCCACACATAATGGCTTTAACGTTACCTAAATTCACACTGGTGATGTCTAATCTCCTCACAGCAGGCACACAACGTCATAAGACGTTGATATTTTGTTGTTTTTAGTTGTGTTATAAAGTTACTAAATTCCAACGTCTCCTTGACGTCATAATGGTGACGTCCACACAACGTCAAATTATAACATCATTCATATGTTCAATGAAAGCAGCCACCTCATGCAGCCACATCTGTTTCTTTCTGCACCAAAGCTGGTTCTCACTTGAATCCTTTCAAAAGTGCCTTTGCTCCGAGCTATTCCATGCCTTTCCATTCGATTCTTAATAAGGCAAGAATTTCATCATTAGTAAAACCATGTTTAAAATACTCCTTAATGTGTTCCCAATTCATCCTGTGTCGGGTCGCGTCAGATCAATGAGCTTGCAAGTCCTAATTTAGATTTAGTTATGTCATAATTTCGACTTAGTTATGTCATAATTTCGACTTAGTGATGTCATAATATTGACTTTTTTATGCATGACTTTTTTTTTTGTGGCGGAAATGGGCTTCCATAGCTCTGAAGAGCTGTTTGTGAAGAATTTGCTTACATAAATTTACATCTGAATAATGAAACAGTTTTGGAATCAATAGTCATGTGAATCAGTGACAATCTTGTAGATGTATCAGTTTCAGACGTTGGATGTTGACGTCAATCTGACGTTGGGTTCTTACGTCAACCCGATTTCCATTTCCTATCAAAAATCAACATCTGTTCGACGTTGGATATTGGCGTCAATCTGACGTTGGGTTCTGATGTCAACCCGATTTTAATTTCCTACCAAAATGCAACGTCTGTTCGACGTTGGGGTCCAACGTCAATCTGACGTCATATTAACGCCCGGTGCCTGGTGGGCTATGTTTCGTACCAGAAAAACATTTTGGTCGGGTGAGAACAGCTTTAAATATACAGCAGAGTCACCGAATCCAGTGTTGTGTCAAATAGTTTCCCTTATGTTTCCTTTCCTATATGAACTGTCTTACCCTAACCAACAGTAACCCAAGGGGAAACATAGGGGAATAGACTTCAACACGACACCATTGTTTTCCAAATCAAAGAGGCAGAGGAAAGAGTACGAGGTTAGATATAAAGCACCCAAACATTTAATATTTGACACAATACTGTTTCACAATAGAAATGTTAAATGACCAACAGTAATACCCAGTGATGCAAACTACTCAACTTTTTTGTCAAATTTCACTATATAATTTACTCAATTTATGAATCGAGACAAGAATGTGATGAGACGAAAAACATTATAAGAGCATATTAGGCATTAGATTTAGAGTGAATTTAATGAACCTTCAGTAAAATAAAAATAGTATTTGTAAATAGGTAGAATTTACACACAAATGATTTTTTTACCAAAAACAAAATTTAACTTTTCATTTAGCCCAAAACCAAAGATAAAGTTTTTTCACTCTCAGAAAAAAAGATACAAAAGCTGTCACTGGAACTGTATCCTTTCAAAAGTGTACACCCTTTACACAGATTTTCTTATTATTGGGAGATAAGAGGGTCCCATGGCATGGGGTTATTTTATTATTTTATAATGTTAGTATGTTTTTTAGATCAAAAATAGTCATAATTTAGAAATAAAAGGCATTTTTCCTAGCCTGATTTTAGCCTCTGATTTGAACGCTCTGTTTGAAGGGGCGTGTCTGCTGTGGGATTCAGTGTAACCGGCCACTGCTGTGATTGGCTGACATGCTTGCATATGAAATAGCTATGTATTACATGTGAAACTCTCTCGAATACTTTTACTATATACGTTTTTACTATTACAGCTATCGAGATTAACGAATCCTGAGAAGTTTTTAAAGTATTTAGATCTATTCCCATCACATAAAATGTAGAGCATTGAGCAAGCAGATGACAGTCTGTTGATGGCCAGAATGGCAGGGCGGGAGTTTCATAGATGTGACGTAGTGGAGAAGCGACCGTGAGACTGTTTTGATTCAGACAACAATGGCGGCTCGCATCGAGGAAACAAGCGTTAACATTGATGCTGCTATTTCATCCGTGTTGTCCAATCTACCTAATATTGTTTCATTAAAAGAACATCAGAGAACGGCTCTTAAGGCTTTTGTTGGTGGAAACGATGTTATATAGATCAGTGCCTTCTCCCGACCGGATTCTTCAGCGTCACGGGTTGGCTTCGGTGTGAGTGGTTGAAATAGCACGTCGATAAAGATGACAGACAAGTGGCTTATCCAATCATATGCAAGGATTTTTGATAAGGCCCAGCCTTCTGAAACGCCATTTCAATGGATCGGTTCCAGATGGATGAGTGAAGCTAGGCGGAGCGAAATTCATCTGACTAGGGCCAGGTTAGCGCACCACACACTGTACGACCAAAACTGTTAGACCCGTGATTTTTTATCGCCGTGTGTGGGGTCTCTCAGGTTTGGAAAATCGGCCGACAATTTTAAAATCGTTCCGTGTGAACCAGGCTTTACTGATGAATAAACAGTATTGAACGATTTTGAGAGAAAGATTACCTGTCTGAACCATGCAGCAACCTCCCTGTCTCTCTCTTGAAACCAACACGGAAGTGAATTAAACTGCTAT